CCCAGCAGCCCGCCCCAGTGATTGTTCGGAGGCCCAGCTTGAAAAATTAGCTTGGCGAGCGACCTAACCACATGCAGCTGTGAGTACCGCATCTGTGAAGATCGTCATCGGTGGAGCTCGTTATGGGGGCACGAACCGTGTGAGGGGTGTGCCAAAGTGGAATGGCGGCGGCGCGTGGGCGCTGCCACTGGGGCCTTCGGCGGAGCTCCCTTTTGGGCCTTCGGCGTGGCTCCCTCTGTCCGCGATCTGTTCGATGGGGGTACCGATTAGAAGCTAGACCTCCAAGATTGTCCTTCACTTTTGTTTCTCCCTCTGTGCCCGCGTACTCCAAAGCCCAATGCTGCGGGCGTAACGCAGCGCGGAGTCCCAGCGACGCGCGCGGGTCGTCCGGTGCGCGGAGCAAAGAGAGCTAGCCTGTTGGCCGATGGCGGGCAAGGCTCTGGCTGCTGGGTAGAGCGACGACAGGCGAGCGAGGCGCTGGGCAGAGCGCAGCATGGAGTTCCCGCGACGCGCGCTGGTCGTCCGCGGCGCGGGGCCAAACAATCGGACCGTCGAGAAGGCTGGGCTCGGGCGGGCCGCTCCTTTGGTCAGGCCTCGCGGACAAACTTGGTGAAGCCCAGCTCCCCGGCGAGGGCCGTCGCCTCCCTCCGGCGCCGTTTCGTGCACGCCGCAAACTGCTCCAGCTGCTTCCGCAAGCCCTCCGGCTGCACTGCCAGGAAGAACACTATCCGCGGCGCCCGCATGACCAGGAGGTCCCTGTGGCGCGTGGCGCGCGAATGCAGCGCGTAGAGGTCCAGCACCAGTCGTCGTCCTCCTTCTAGCCGTTACCGACCTCGCGGCGGCCGCAGTCCACGATCGCGACTGGGCGACGTCGGCCGAGGGAGCAGCGCGCCGGACAGCCGACGGCCCAGGGCGAGAGTCTACAGGATCGAGAGAAGGTTTGGCTGCGGACCGTTCGCGCCCAGGCTATGGGGCCACTGAGCGTGAAAAAGGTGTGATCCTTATGGAGCCTCGAAGCGATGTACTGGGCGCATGAACCGCCTGCGAGTTCTGCCACTGGGACCTTCGGTGGAGCTCCTTATTGAGCCACGAAGCGATGTTCTGCGCGCAGGATCCGCGTGCGAGTTCCGCCGCTGGGACCTTGGCCAGTCTTCCAGGTGCCGACGTATAGCGAAAAAATCACGGCGCTGGAAGACCGGGCACCTCCCTCCTGTCATCCCTCCCCCCAGACCCCCTCGCGTCACCAAAGGATCACGACGGGAGGTTTGTGGCCGTTTGCGGCCACCGGTGGCCCTCAGCCAGCCCTGGCACCATCAAAAAACGAGGTTGCAAAACTGGTCCTGGGGAAGGCGTCCCGACCTCCGGGAGCCGACGTAGCAAAACAAATAACAATGGGTGATCGGGCATCCCTCCCTTCTTCCTTCCTTCCCCTCCCCCCAGACCTCTCCCGTCGTGAGAAAAACGCGACGAGAGGTTCTCGGCCGTTTTCGGCTTCGTTTTCGTCGTCGTCGTCGTCGTGGTCCACGTCGTGGTCGTCGTCGTCGTCGTCGTCGCCGTCGTCGTCGTCGTCGCCGTCGTCGTCGTCGTCGTCGTCGTCGTCGTCGTCGTCGTCGTCGTCGTGGCCGCCGTCGTCGTCGCCGTGCCCGCCGACGTCGCCGTCGTCGTCGTCGTCGTCGTCGTCGTCGTCGTCGTCGTCGTCGTCGTTGTTGTCGCCGTCATCATCGTCGTCGTTGTCGTCGCGGTCGTCGTCACTGTCGTCGTCGCCGTCGTCGACGTCGTCGTCGACGTCGTCGCAGCCGTTGTCGCCATCGCCGTCGCCGTCGCGGACCAATTCATCGAGGATCAGGGTTCAAGGAAGTTTTTGATTGCTTTCAGCCTCCAAGGGCCGTCCCTGGGCCCCAGGATCCCCAGAGTTTCCGCGAACAAAAACGGCACCGAACAAACCCCAGAAACGGATCCAGGGACGCATCCAGAGCAGATGTCTATGTGTGACCGCCGAGGTCGTCGTCGGCGTCGGTGCGTCGGGACCCCAGGCGGGGACCGCGGCCACATCCTGCCCTGACTCGGCCAACGCGGGGGCGGGAGCAAACAAGGACAAAAAAGAGGAGGATGGAGAGGCGGAGGTTGAGGAGGTGGAGGCGCAGAGGAGGGACAGAGGAGGGAAGAAAAGGAGGACGAGGAGGAGGAGGAGGAGGAGATGGGGGAGGAGGAGGAGGAGGAGGAGGAGGGGGAGGAGGAGGACAGCTCCAGACCGAATCGCTGTGTGGACGTCGTCGTCGACGTCGTCGTCGTCGGCGTGGTGGTGGCGGTCGTCGTCGTCGTGGTCGTCGTCGTCGTCGTCATCGTTGTCCGTCGCCTTCGTTTGTCCGCTCGTCGCAGCCCCTGTCGTCGACGTTCGTCGTTCGTCGTCGATGATCACAAGAGCGGAAACGAAGAGCGAAAACGGGAACAGCAAAACGTGGCGCAGCCATGACTAGAACCTGAGCGCGCGAAAAACGCGCGTGGTTTCTAGTATTTACGTTCACAGGACGTACGTGTAATACAACCACACACATATATGTATAATATATGCATTTGTAATGTTTACGTGTGTATAGTTATATAATACATATATACTATATATTATATATATATTAGTATATATATATATATAGTATATATATATATATATCTATATATATATCTATCATTGGCTTTTTGACCGTCGCCGTGCTATTTGGTTCTTCGGTTCGGTGCATGGTCGGGGGGGCGGTTCTGGCGCGCGGTCCTTTGTGAGCTTCGAGGTTAGAGCTGCTGGGGCTTTTCAGGACGCCTCCCGGGGCCTCTTGGGGGCTGTTCGGAGGCCTTTCGGGGCCCCTTCTGTGCCTGTGGGGTGCCTCCTGGGGCTTGTTGGGGGCTTGCCGGCGGTTTCGGGAACCGTTTTGGGATTCTTTTAGGCCGTCATGGGCGCCTCTTGTGCCGTCTTTGGGCTCTCTTGGGCCGTCGTGGGGGCGTCTTGGGGACGTCTTGGGCACCTTGGTGCAGTCTGTGGGGCGTATTGGGCCGTCTGGGGCCGTCTTGGAGCGTCGGAAAGGCCCAACGTCGTCTATGCTAAAAGTGTAGTTTCCAGAGGGAATTGAACGGTTTTGGCCTCGTAAGTAAGGCTCTCTGGGGAGGCCTCTTAGGGCTTTCTTGGGGCGTCTGGGGGGCTCTTGGGCCTTTCTTGGGCCATCTTGGGCGCCTTGGAGCCCTGTTGGCCCGTCTTGGGACCGTCTGATCCAGACCCAGCGGCCCCCACCGGGCCTGAAGTCGGGCCGGATCAGGTTTCTATGTGTACAGGGTTTGATTGAATTTGTGCCGTTTTTTATCTGTCCTTTTTTTTTTTTTTTTTTTTTTTTTTTTTTTTTTTTTTTTTTTCCTCTCTCTCTCTCTCTCTCTTCTTTCTCTTTATATCAATATACATGTGTATATATGTAGGTATGTTTATGTATATGTATATGTACATATGTATTGTATATATATATATATATATATATATATATATATATATATCGATACCTTGGCACGAAGCGTTAATGCAGTCTTGCTCGTATGTACGTATGCATGCATGCATGGATGTATGCATGTATGTTTGTACGTGCGTACGTATGCTTGTATGTACTTACGTATGTATGCATACATGCATGGATGTTGTATGCATGTACGCGTGTATGTATGTAAATATGTATGTATGTAGGTATGTATATATACGTATGCGTGTAACCATATACATATATGTTAATATGGATGAAAACCTTGTAAGAGCGTACGCGCTAACAATCATACGTTATATATGTGTATATATATATGTATATAGATGTATGTGTATAGTGTAGCTACGCGCCATACATTTTGGTCCTTGAAGCTTGGCATGCAGGCGGAATGACAGGAAGGCCAAACACACAATTTAACGATAACTGTTGGTTGCCCTTTTACCGGCATCGCCATTCCCATGTTGTTATTCGTTATCCATCCTCCATGTCTCTTTTTTCCTAATTGTCGCCCTACCCTGCGAAATTCTCCACCCTCCGCAGTTTTTTTGCGGAGGCCCCTCCCTGGAGAGCCTTTGGAGGCCTCACGGAAACTTCTCAGGCTTTCTCAAGGCTTACTGTAGGCCTCCTACAACCCTCGTCAAGATTAACCTCAAATCTGTGTTACGTGGCTGAATTGCTTGTGGGGAGGTACTGGACAGAGTAGCGATGACTGCGAGATACTTGTATGCGCCGCCCTCCAATGTCGGTCATCATTGAACTTCCGAGTCGTTCCCGGTCAGACCACATTTGCCCTGGCCCCGACATTGGAGGGGCGTCTATCGACAGCGGGAGGGCGTTCGGCCGCCCTCCTGACCGATTTGGGCCCGCTGCCCAGGCTCAGCAAGGGCTTCCAGGAGCTCTGACACTC